GGAGGCGGTGAGGAAGGAGGGGGGGTGGCTGGGGCAGCAGGGGGCAGTCAGGGGACAGGGAGAAGGGGTGGTTGAATGGGGCAGGGGTCCCAGGGGAGGCCGTCAGGAATGAGAGGAGGGGTTGGATGGGGTGGCAAAGGTCCGGAGGCGGTCAGGGGACAGGGAGAGGGGTGTGTGTGGATGGGGCAGGAGTCCCGGGGGGGGGGAGCAGATAGGAGGTGGGGGCTGGGCTATGACCCCCTCCCCTAACCGGCCCTCCATACAATTTACGAAACCTGATGCAGCCCCCAGGCCAAAAAGTTTGCCCACCCTTGCACTAGAGGCTACATCTATGCCAGAAGTTTTCTGAAATCTTCCCACTGTTCTTCTAGCACTGCTGTAGCATTATCAGCACCAGTAGGAGGGCCAGTGTAGACTAGCTACTGACATTTTTTACTAGCATTGCATGCTTCAGAACTAGTCTCAACCACGATGCAATACTTATCACCTTTCACAATGAGAGGCATATGTGGGAACGTGTTATCTTTTATTGAACCAACTTCTGTTGGTGAGAGAGAAACTTTCAAGCCTCACAGAGTTCTTCTTCATTTCTGTGTGGCTCAAATGCTTGTCTCTCTTACCAACAGAAGTTGGTTCAATAAAAGATATTAGGTTTGCGCCACAGCTCAAAGAGCCATGACCTCACCAACCTTCTCTCTCTCTCTAGTATCGTAGGACTGACATAGCTACAACTACATCTCATTGCAATAGACGTGTACGGGGAGATTTTCTTTTAACAATTTCCTTCCTTCCTTCCCTTTTTATGCATGCAAAACATGAGATTGCTTGTTTGTGTGTGATGTTAGGTGCCCTATTCAGTAGAAATCCACTACCTGCTTCTATATCATTCCAAAATCTCAGCTTCCTTCCAGCTCACACCATTCATCAGACGTGGCTCACTGATAGAGTCAGGACAGGTCTACGCTTAAAATGCTGCAGAGGCAATGGTGCAGCTATGCCACTGAAGCACTTCAGTAAAGATGCTACTATGCCAATGGCAGACTTCTCCCATCAATAGTTAATTCACCTCTATGAGAGGCGGTAGCTATGTTGACATAAGCCCTCCAGGCAACAGCATTGGTTAGGTTGGTATAACTGCATCGTTCAGGGGTGTAGACTTTTCACACCTCTGAGTAACGTAGTTATACCAATATAAGCTCATAGCATAGACCTGGCCTAAATTAGCACAAACTAATTCACAGTATCCTAAAGAGCAGCACAAGTTGGAAAATGCCTTTAGCTGTTTGCATGGGAAGTTTTATAGCTCCAATTATTAAAGAAAAGTTACGAAATCAGCACGTAGACTGTCTCCAACACGGAGCACTGCAATTTCACCCCAAGTCTCTGTGCCTTAGTCTCACAGGAAAGAAACGACTAGTCTGATTTCAGAAAAATACTCAAATAGGGTTTCTGAGGATGTGCCAAACAAACTGCCTGAGAAAAACATTTTTAAAAGGTGTCGAGTATCAAAGGGGTAGCCGTCTTAGTCTGGATCTGTAAAAGCATCCGAAGAAGTGGGTATTCACCCACAAAAGCTAATGCTCCAATACGTCTGTTAGTCTATAAGGTGCCACAGGACTCTCTGCTACTTTTAAAAGGGCTTTCCCAGTTCATGGGGCTACAAGTATCCTCAACCCTCCCACTGCCCGTGGGTGACCTCATGAGGTGGGCAGCAGCAGCACCTCCCAACCCTCCCAGCACCCACAGGTGACCCCCAGCAGGCAGCAGTAGCCAACCAACCCTCATGGGTGACCCACAGCAAGTGGCAGCAGCCCCACCCCAACCCTCCCAGCGCCCACAGGTGACTCCCAGTGGGCGGCGGCAGCAGCAGCCCCCCAACCCTCCCAGCGCCCACGGGTGACCCCAGCAGCCCCCCAAACCTCCCATCACCCACGGGTGACCCCAGCGGGCGACAGCAGCAGCCCCCCAACCCTCCCAGCACCCACGGGTGACCCGAGCGGGCGGCGGCAGCAACCCCCCAAATCTCCCAGCACCCACGGGTGACCCCAGCGGGCGGCGGCAGCAACCCCCCAAACCTCATAGGTGACCCCCAAGGGGCGGCAGCAGTTCCCCCCAGCGCCCACGGGTGACCCCAGCGGGCGGCACCCACCCCCCCAAACCTCCCAGCGCCCGTGGGGGAGACGAGCACCACCCCCCGCGCGGGCCCCGGCCGCACCTTGTCCTCCCAGGCGGAGTCGCTCCGCAGCGCCTTGCCCCACACCGAGCCGCGCAGCGCGCCGCCGCCGTTGGCCACCAGGTGCTGCTGCGGGTGAGACAACGGCGGCTCCTCCTTCCGCCGGGCGCCGCTCATCTTCCCCAGGCCCCACCACAGGCCGCCCCGCTGCCCTCAGGCCCCGCGGTCACTGCAAGGGAAGCGGCGCACGTGACGGCCGGCTCTTGGGATCAGCCAATCACATCTCTCCCTGCCGGGGAGAGGCGGGGCTGAAGCCGGACTGCCCTCTATCGCACGATGGGGAGGGTCCGTTGCCTTCCCTACGGCAGGAGGGAGGGGTCATTCTGAAAAGCGTTGCTGCTATTCCCTGGAGGGTGGGGCCTGAGAGCGGGAGACAGGAGCTGCAGAATGGGGCGGGGCTTTGGGAAGGAGCGGGAGGGGCTTTGGGAAAGAGCTGGGGGGGATCTCTGCCACAGGGAGGAGGGGAGCTGCAGGGGGATAGGGGGCAGATGTCCCATTGAAGAGCCCAGAGTCCCTCTGGAGCTTCCCATGCTCTCTGGTCTCCTCTGGGAGCTGTACTCCATACAGGGGAGCCGTCCCTCTGGGGTGGGGCATAGCCACAGGTTAACCCCCCACAGCAGCTTCTCAGATCTACTACACCTGCCAGCCTCTAGCGCTTCCCCTCCAAGGGCCTCAATGCACGTAAGAACAGAAGAACAGACATACTTGGTCAGACCAAAGGTCCATCTAGCCCAGTATCCTGTCTTCCGACAGTGGCCAATACCAGATGCCCCAGAGGGAATGAACAGAGCAGGTAATCATCAAGTGATCTATCCCCTGTCACCCATTCCCAGCTTCTGGCAAACAGAGGCTAGGGACATGGGCGCCAACTCCATGGGTGCTCTGGGGCTGGAGCACCCACGGGGAAAAATTAACAGGTGCGCTGCACCCACCGGCAGCCAAGCTCCCCACTCCTCGCCTCCTTCTCTCCCCTCTCAACACGCCACATTCCCGCTTCTCCCCCTCCCTCCCAGCGCTTCTCACCACCTAACAGCTGTTTGGCGGTGCTTAGGACTTTCCGGGAGGGAGGGGAAGGAGCGGGTACGCGACGCACTCAAGGGAGGAGGCGGAGAAGAGGCAGGGCAGGGGTGGGAACTTGGGGGTTGGGGGTGGAATGGCAGCAGGAAGGGGGCAGGGCTGGGGTGGAAAAAGGCGGGGTGGGACGGGGACTTTGGAGAAGGGGTGGAATGGGGGTGGGGTGAGGGCGGGGAAGAGGCGGGACCCGGGGCGGGGCCGGGGTGGTCAAGCACCGGGGCAGAGGGGAAGCCAGCGCCTGTGGCTCAGGACACCATCCCTGTCCACTTCATAGACACCAACCGTCCCTCCCAACAGAGACTCTTCACAGGGCAGGCAGCACCAGTCGTTTTCCTGGGAGGTGGCGAGGAAGTATTTGTGAGAGATATGGCAATATCTTTCGGATATCGTTTTGAATTAATTTTAAATAGCTTTGGGATCCATGGTATTATAAATGCAAAATTTATGTATTATTGTGGGATTGCACGTAAATTCCCTAGGGGAGACACATGGCTAGTGTATACCCTGGGAGGTGTTCAGAGCTTCAAGGGACTATTTTAAACAATGTGCTATGCAAGAGGGAACTTTTAGGACAAACAAAATTAAGTGGCTTAATATCTTGGGGGAGGAAAATGCAAATGATCACATCCAGACCCAACCTTTTAAAGCTACACCCTGAGAAGAGACCCACTGTCTGACTGATTACCTATTCATGGTCTCTGAAGATCAAAGAAGGTTAAAATTGGGTTGCCAATTTTGGTTAGACGCATTCCTGGAGGTTTTGTCACATGACGTAATCTTTAATTAAAGATTAATCTTTAATTCCTGGAGACTCCAGGACAATCCTGAAGAGTTGGCAACCCTATCAAAGACCCAAGCTATATAAAGGAAAGGTTAACCTATGCAGGGGCAGTAGGTTTGTATAATTTTTGGTGGTGCCCAGAATGGGTCCAAGTTCCACCCCCCGACACACCTGCCTAAGGCTCTGGGAGGGAGTTTGGGTGCGGGAGGGGGTTTGGGGTGCAGGCTCTTGGAGGAAGTTTGGGTGTAGGAGGGGTGCGGGCTCTGGGATGGAGTTTGGGTGCTGGGTGCAGGCTCTGGGCTGGGGCAGGGGATTGTGGTGCAGGAGGGGGTGTGGGAAGGGGTTTGGGGTGCTGGATGCAGGAGAGGGTTTGGGTGCTGGGTGTGGGCTCTGGGAGGGGATTTGGGTGCTTGGTGCAGGCTCTGGGCTGGGACAGAGGGTTGGGGAGCGGAGCGAAGGGCCGGACCAGGGATGAGCAGTTTGGAGTGTAGCAGGCAGGCTACCCCAGGGCCGTGGGCCAGAGAGGACTCCCTCCAGCCCTCTCCCCGCCGGCAGCAGTGAGCTCCGGGGGAGAGGGGGAGGGACCCCCTCCCTAGCCCCCTGGCATGACACTCACCCAAGCCCCCCCAGGCTGCTGCCCAGGAGGTCCAGCCAGGATAACACCCCCCTGGAGTCGACTCGGAGTCATCTGCCTCGGGGGGTGGCTCCCAAGTACCTCCTCACCTCCTCCCTCCACAAGCGCAGCAGCCGCCTCAGCCTGCCCCCAGCACTACTCCCTCGTAGTCAGCCGCGGCAGCAGCCGGTAAGGGAGCGCAGCATGGAGCTGCAGGGGGCAGCCGCCCACTGCCCAGGGTAGGCAGGGATGCTTGGGGGAGGTGCGCAGGGGTGGCAGATGGGGCCAGGGGAGGTGCGCGGAGTGGCAGGCAGGGCCGGGGGAGAGACCCGGCCCAGAACATTGATGGAGCCGGGCCCCCAGGCCCTGAATTTGCTGGAGCCCAGGCACTGCGGGCCCATATAACTTGCTGCCCCTGAACCTATGCATATGTGTTCTTGTTCTGATAAAAATGCTGTTATGAAGTTGTAATCACAAAACCCCTGTGTGAGGTTTGAATGACTGATCACCTACCTGAGCTCTTGTTGGAGTTGGGGGTGATCCCCAGTAAGCTTATTAGCATGTCTGTAATTTCTTTTATTGTTTTTAATATGTTTTCTCTGTAAGGCTTTCACTTTAAGAATAAATATGCTTGCTTAGACAGGGCTTATAACTGTGGCAATTCCACTGTTTATAACCTCTGGAGAGAAAGCAAAGTGCAGATGCTTGCCATTTAGGCAGTCTGACTTGCTGGGGTACTTGCCATCTAGGTCAGGAACTGTGCACCCTGAAAATGTCCCTGTCAGGAGGGAGAGAGATGTGGATCTCTGGCCAAGAGAGGTGAAGGCTGAGGCACCGGGAGTGTAGAGTGGATGTCCTTGCTGGACCACAAGGGGGAAATGCAAGTGCAGTTGCCCTGAACCATGACAGTATTATTTATCCCTGTTTTACAGATAGAGAAGCTGAGGCACAGAGAAAAATGATTTGCCCAACATTACACACAGCCACTGGCAGAACCAGTAACAGAAAACAGCAGTACTGACTCCCAGCCTATATTCTAAACATTAGGCCACGTTGTCTTCCCTCTACAGCCGCTATAGGATATTCAGGAGAATCCCCATAGTTGATTTACACTGTTGGGTAATTTGGAGAAGCAGAATGTAGTTTCCTACAATTCAAGGGCAAGGCACCTGCGTTAACACTCCAGTTTTGATATAAAGTACCCAGGGGTTCTTAAGAACCACAAGCAATCAGTTGCCCAGTATGATGTACCTTGCAACAGATGACACCTCTGACAGCAGCACTCCAGCAGCACCTATACAGGCTATCTGAGGAAACAGAGGACAAGTATGAAAAATACTGAACCAAGCTTATTCTGAGGTATTAAGAAGGATGGTCTAGTGATTTGAGCACTGAATTATGACTCAAGAGACCTGGCTTCAATTCCTAGCTCAACCATAGACTTCTTGTGTGACCTTGGGCAAGTTGCTGTAAAATGCGGGTAGCACTTCCCTATCTTACAGGGGTATTGCAAGGATAAAATCCCTTTAATGATGGTGAGGCACTTAGGTACTAAGGTGGTGAGGATCACATGTGTGGAGAAATTTTTTTAGGGGACAACTCCCCACAATGTTTATTTGTATTACAAAATCCTGCATTTATATCACTGTGTATTGTCTGTTACATGACTGTTACTTGAAATGACACGCATTTAATCTGATCAAATGTTTCTTAGTAACTCCTTATTGAATACAGGACTTGAGGCACTCAAGAAGGAATGTCCTTTAAAATAGAAAATGTGGGGTTAGTCAAAACAAGTTCTGTCTGTGTCCCAGTTAATTCAATCAGACACCCATGCAAACCATCTGAGGCCTGCAAGGCACATTCCAGCTCCAGAAATCATGCTGTTGGTTGTATCTGCAATTAAAACAATAATTTGAATATCAATTGGGTCCTAATAACTCAGCCATTATTATATTATATTCCTGCATTATGAAAGCAGCAGCATTAAGCCTAGATCAGTTGTATTTCTCACGAGAAAGTGAGCTGAGAATCACTTTAACTGCATCCCAGTGGAATAATGCAGGAATAATAAACCATCCTTGGCTGACCTATATTATGGTTGATTCAACTGAAGATTCTCTTTAGGATGTACTCTGCATCCTCAGGCAGTCATAAACGAGGCTGATAGAAATTGTGGGGTGGAGATGGATAGCAGATTTACATATGAGCTGAAAGCTATGTCCACAGCCACGGACCAGACTTGCATGGTTTGGGTTTGTCATGACAAGGAAAAGTGCTTGAGTTTAGGTCAGGTTTAGCTCATACATGCATGCTATTCCTCACCTTAACTTGACCTCTTTTCCTAGTAGAAATGCAGGGTAACTGCGAGTGACAAAGTGTTACCCTGCATCTACACAAGGAAAATGGACAAGTTTAGTTCCAACTGAGCTAGCACATGGCAGCTAAGCCCGGTCCAGACTCAACCACTTTTCCTAGTCAAGACAAACCTTTTAACAGAGAGGTGTTTCTCCGATACCTGAATCCAAATGTCAAACCTTAAGGGCGGACTGGGGATGTGATCTGGCCCTGAAGCATCTAAGTATGCTTTTCAGCTCCAGCAAACCATAATTTGGTGACCAATGAGAGCAGCTGAGCTAGCTCAGAGGGTTTCACATGCATCGTATCTTTGCTGTTGTTAAGGCTTACTAGGTTTGGGAAGGAGAGGGGCCCCATTATACTTGCTTTTCGGCCCATAATAGAGTATGCAATATGTTTATAAACTGTATGGATGGAGAGAGAAATGTATATGGTTCTTCCATTGATCTGCTTATATGAGACTCGTCACCATACTGTCTGAACACCTCACAGCACTCCTGGGAGGCATGAAAGACACACAAAGTCTGTGTCAGGCCTAGGAATGGAATCCAGATCTCCTGAGTTCCAGTCTGGTACCTTGGCCATGAGATTATCCTCCCTTCTTTTAGCAGGCCTACCGGTCTAACTCAGAACAAAATGTCCTACTGGACTAAATGGTCTTGGGGTTAAATCAGAGGACTAGGAGTCAGGAGAGCTGAGTTTTATTCCCAATTCTGCCAACTGCTTACATTGTGACTTTGGGCAAGACATATAGAGTCTCTGTACCTCTGTTTCCTGATCTGTTAAATGGAGATGATGACACACATCTGCCTGGTTGACTGCTGGGAGTTACTCTCCCACTGTGACCTGTGCATTACTACTATCGAGCAGAACCCATTTGTCCACTAGATGGCAGGAAATTTACATCTTTAGCTGCTTGTTCCGCTAACTGCTTTGCTGTCTCACCCTGGGAATTTCTTTCAGCTGGGATCAGACATGCAGTCATTAGAGTAAAAGATACCGTGGAGTCTGCAGTATTTGCTTAAAACTATAATTTACCCAGTGAGAAGGAAGCTGGCTATACCTCTGCCATACAGATCAATTAAATGGAGTAAGAACTGGCTAACTGACAGATCTCACAAAGGGGATGTCGACAGGGAATCATCATCATCAAATGGGGGTTTTCTAAGAGGGTTCTACAGAGATCAGTACTAGGCCTGATGCTATTCAACATTTTCATTAGTGATCTGGATGTAAATATAAAGTCACTACTGGAAATATTCATGGGTGACACAAAGATTGGTGGAGTGGTAAATAACGAGGAGGACTGGGCAGTCATACAGAATGATCTGGAGCGCTCGGTAAGTTGGGCCCATTCAAACAAAATGCATTTCAGTGCAACCAAAATGCAGAGTTTTCCATCTAGGAACCAGGGCTACGGGCCACATCTACTGAATGCGGGACTGTCTCCTGGAAAGCAGTGACTTGGAAAAAGATTGAGGAAGCAATAGTGGACTAGTAACAGAACATGAGATCCCAGTGCACTGTTGAGGACAAAAGGGTTAACACGATCCATGGATGTATGAACAGGGGCGGAGTGAGTGGGAACGGGGAGGTGATTTTACCTCTGTATCCAGCGGTGGCAAGACAGATCCTGCAATATTATGTACAGTTTTAGTGTCTACGTTCTTAAAAGGATGTTGAAAAATTGGGGAGAGTGCAGAAAAGAGCCACAAAGGTGATTCGATGGCTGGAGAAAATGCCTTATAGTGAGAGACATCAAGAGCTCAGTCTGTTTATTTTATCAAACTGAAGATTGAAAGGTGACTGGATTACCGTGTAGAAATACCTTGATGAGAAGAAAACACCGGGGTACTAACGGGCTCTAATCTCTCAGAGAAAGGCATATGAAGAACCAGTGGCTGAAAACTGAAGCCAGATAAACTCAAATGAGAAACTAGGCACATTTTTAACAGTGAGGCTGATTAATCACTGGAACAAACTCCCAAGGGAAGTGGCAGATTATACAGCACTTGATGTCTTCAAATCAAGATTGAATGACCTTCTGGAGGATGCTTTAGCCAAACACAAGTTATTGGGCTCAATACAGGGATAACTGGTGAAATTTAATGGCCTGTGTTATAGAGAAGGTCAGATTAGATAATCTAACGATCCCTCCTCGCCTTAAACTCAGTGAATCTATAAAAACAACACTGCTTTCAGGTCCTATTAAAATGCCAAATATAAAAGAAATGACAACGCTGATCTTCCTACAGGTTCAGGCAAATTAAAACCATCCCCCTGCATTCTGTGTGATGGCCTCTGTGTGCTGAAGGAGCTGTAATAATACAAATTGGAACATGTCAGAAGCTCTTTGATGATTTAGGATTAGAGGGGGAAGGACAGAGTGTGCCAAGGCTGCATTGGCCACTTGCCAGGAGCCCAAAGTGTACCTACATTTTACCATAAACAGGTGCACATAACTGAGATTTTTGCTTCCCTTTGTAGCGTCCTTGAGAGATGAACAGAAAGAGCTTTGTGTTTGAATTCACCAGCCATAAGTATGTTATGCGTAGGGTGCTCAGCTGTGGAACAGGCTACCTGGGGGCGGGAGGGTGAGACTGAACCAAAAATGATTTGTCCTCAGTGCACACTGCTAAATATAGGAATTGCCATATTGGGTCAGATCCAAGGTCCATCTAGCCCAGTATCCTGCCTCTGACAGTGGCAGGTACCAGATGCTGCAGAGGAAGGTGCAAGAACTGCACTGGAGGCAAATGTGTGATAATCTGCCCCTACACAAGTCTCATCCTGGTCTCTAATAGTTAGATTTAAACGCACCTATCCACAATGGCTTTCCCACCCGAGCAAAGACCAGGCACTTCCAACACTCCCCATACCTGACACAGCAACCAAAGCCTCCCAGTCCATGCGAGAGGTGAAGAGCAGAACCCTCTGAGGCCCTCTGTAGAGAATGCTATGCAGATCTGAACCTTTGTATTTAACTCCTGGATACTCTGTTGAGAGGCCCTCTATAGATTCTGAGGTCCTGAGCACCCAACCTCACCCAGCTGGGATGCTAAACTTCAATACTGCACCACTTGTTTGCTTTCTTGGTGGTTCTTTTTGTCCATCCACCACTTGTTCAGGCGGAGAGAGACAAGGACATAAAAGGCCAGGCCAAATTGTGAACCCAGGGCCTGATTTGCAAGCAGCGAAGCGGAGGGGGGAAAAAAAAAAGAGATAAAGCCACGATCGGCGGCAGCCCAACCATGCCGCTTCATTCTTCGGCGGCAGTTCGGTGGCTGCTCCTTCCCTCCAAGAGGGACTGAGGGACCCGCCGCCGAAGACCCGGACGTGCTGCCCCTTTCCATTGGCCGCCCCAAGCACCTGCTTCCTTTGCTGGTGCCTGGAGCCGGCCCTGGCACAGTGGAATCATGCCATTGACGTCAGAGGAGTTAGACCAGCACAGAACCTCTGGAACACAGGAGGCCCCAGGGTATTCTTATGTTCACATCTTTCTCGTGTTCCTGTCCGTCTGTCTCACCATCAGAGAGGCCCTCCAAGCCACCTGCCCATCTTCCCTGCTCTTCTCTGAGCTAAGCACAGTTTAATAACTGATTGGACTGCTCAGGTCTTATGTGCACGGGTCTGTTTTGGGGGCACTCCCCGCCCTGCACGTTTGCACACACACACACCCCTCAGTTCACTAGCAGTATTGCAGCTCCACCAGAAGCAGCAGCAATAATAATCCCTAGCTCTTATATTGTGCTTTTCACCTGTAGTGTGGATGGGCCTGAGGTGGCTGCGAGAGCTTTACTCCTGTGTCATCTAGGTCTGCTCTGAACAGGGTTCGGTGACATGGTGATACAAACACTGGTGCCTTCTCTACACTGGTGCCTTCTCTACACTCGTGCTCCCGCCTCCCTGGCTACTACCTGGGGAGATGCACCAGCGCTAGTGTAACGCTGGGGGTTTGCTCCACTGAGTGTAGTGCAGATGCACAAGTAGGGCACTGCCCATCAGTAGATCTCATAGCAGGTCAGTACCATTGTCCCCATTTTAGAGATGGGGAAACTGAGGCACAGGGCGGCAAAGCGACTTGCCCACAGTCACCCAGAAGGACAGTAGCAGAGCCAGCAATAGAACCCATTTCTCCTGAGTTCCAGTCCATTGCTCTATCCATGAGGCCACACTGCCTCTCCATGACATTGGCCCATCACCCTCCTGATTCTGGCCTGTCATTACTGTATATTTTGCAACTGAAGTCAAAGCAGTCAGACTTGTAGCCTGGAGACCAGGGTACCTTCTGTGCAGATCAGAGAGGAAAAGTGGCCCTGTGGGCCAGTCCTTAAATCCTTACTCCTGTAAAACTCCCCAGGAAGTCAATGGGTGTGTTGGAGTAATGGCTTTGGGCCAGGCCCTGTGTTTACTGCCAGTCTTTCAGGGTCTTTTCTGGCTGCCCTGGCTTCACGAGAAGCAACAGGATCTCTCAGAATGGCCAGTAGGTGTCAGCATCGATTTTCATTTTCCCTATGATGTTTTTAAAGCCAGAAGCGAATGTTATAGAACAACCACAGGACAGAGCTCAGATGTAACCAAGGCTCTGCAGTGAAGAGAGATAAAGTCTGGATCGCAGAGTTGCTGGCCTGAGCAGAGGGATAATAATGACTAACCACCCTCTGGCTCTTCCTGCATCAATCCCCCACACTGCAGAACCATTGACATTCAAGGGCAACATTTCCTGGAACTCTTCAGGCTTTTCGGAGTGTTTCATTGATGCTTCTCCTGAGGGCCGTCCATCTGCGATGCCTGGCTCATCTTCCAGCCATGCCTCTTTCATGGGAAAGGATACTGTCGAGCAGAGCATTGAATGGTTTTCATTTGTCATCTGCTTTCCCTCTCCGCAGTTCCTTGTGCTTTGAATGAAGCCGAAAAGAATCTGTTTGCTTTTCTTTGGCAACAGCTTCACCATATGGGGCATGAGCCAACCAAAAGCTGCCCCCTCGGGCTGCAGTCCCGTCAGACTTTGCACGGAACTCAGCATCAGGCCTTGTCATTGCTTGGCTAGGAAGCCTCCAAAGAAAACCCAGGGTTTGGCAGGAAGTGGTTGTAGTGAGTCAGTGAGCGGGGCTCTTCCCGGTGATTCAGTCAGCCCTGAATCACTGGCCCTGTGTGCTGGAGATGGTGTCTTTTGTCTGAGACATAAAACACAGGCCCCCATCGCTGCTCATTAAAGAGCCAATGATTTGGGTTTTTTTGTGTTTTTTTTACTGAGCGGGGTGTCCTATCCACATCCCTATTTATTTAGGTAACTGCATTTTGCTTCTCTAAAATTCCCCTGGCATTGTCAACTGGATACAGTACTATACTATTCTCATGGATTTTGTATTAAGGCAGCACCAAGAAGCCCCAGCTGCGAGAGGGTCCTGTTGCACTAGGCACTGCACAGACACATCGTGAGAGACAGTCCCTACCCCAGAGAGTTTATAGTCTTACAGCTCCGATCCAACAGTGCGTGGGTGGCCTTGCTGCAGACAGGCAGAGTAGCATTGGTGTCAATTTCAAAATTGGTGGGGTGGGGTGGGGTGGGGTGGGGTGGGGGGGAAGAATCTAAAAACAAACCAAATCTCAATAGCATGTCCCCCCTGCTTCCCGCATTTTTCTACTAGCTCTAGTTCTGGCCCTCTGAGGCACTGAGCATCCGCCACTTCCATCAGAGTCAAAGGGATTGGTGAGACCTGCAGCTGGCAGGATCAAAAACAACAGGCCTGATCCAGCAAAACCTCCTGGGTGCCATCTCAATGGCCGTACCCCTTGTTGTGGGAGTTTGCAGGATCGGGCCCCACATTCATCACTTTCAAAATGTAAACCAGTCTCTAGGGTTGAACGGTTGGGGTTGCAGCAGAGCCAGCCAGCCAACAGGAAGGGAATGTGGGTGACAAGCTGCTGCCATCTGGATCTGAGTCTGCTAACCACCAGCTTCACAAACCCTGCCAGTTCCCCTGAGCTGTAAACAGGAGCGATGGAGCCTGCAATGCAATGGAAAAACATATCAAAATCAGGTCCATTGGGGCAGGACTTCTTTAGCGCTCCCCAAGAGCTGCCTTGGAGGCCTGGGCACCACAGCGCTCCTCAGAGGGGACACAGGCCTGTAATAACATTGCGCATGGGCTGGAAATACATAGGACCAGGACCAAGTTGTCAGAGGCGGATTAAGGTTTCCTGGGGCCTTGGGCCAGAGCAAGCGCCCCCCAATCCTCCTGCAGCCCCATCCCCTTCCGACTGCGGCCCTACCCACAGCCCCACCCCTTTCTGTCCCTTCCCCGGGGGCGGGGCCAGCCCCTGTTACACTGAGGGTCCCCCCCCCCATTCCACCCACACACACACTGCAGCTCTCTAGTGGTCAGATCACTAAAAGAGGTTTATGAGTAGGCCTGGAAGGATTAGGTTTTTATTGGTAAATGTTGCTAAATGTCAATTTCACAGTGTGCCCGATGAAAAGATATTTCTATCTATAATAATTGAAATTTACAGATAGGCAAAGTCAGAAAAATGAGAACCTTGAGAACCTATAAGAGTTTGATTTAAGGATGTTCAGTTTGTATATTTTGACATGTGATGTTGACAATTTGTGTCGTAGTTGTTATAAAACTAACTTTTTTAATCTCAACGTCTACTCTCATTAAATAATTATTGTCTGACCCCCTCCCCACATAATTTCCTGCAACTGTGAAAATGTAAATGGATACACATTTTAAAAAGTGCTTAAACCCCATAATTTTGCACAACTGTGAAAAATGATATCGATAAAAATTGGGGGGAAATGCTTAAAAATAAACATCAATATCTATCAACGTTATTTTAAAAATGAATTCTGCCAAGCCTGTTTATGAGTCTACTACTGCCATCAAGCTAACACACCTGGTCCATTAACTCGAGCACTAGAAGCTTTCGGATCCAGACATTTCAAACAGGGGCATCAATGCAGTTACAACAGGAACATATAGCTGAACCAGGTGTTTAGCACAGCTAGTAATGGAGAGACACATGCACATAAATAAGGCGTATTTATGTACCTCTACGTACTTACATGGCATTCTTCACTGTAGTGTCTCACACACATTCATGGATTTTACCTTCACATCTGTACAATGCAGGAAAACATTATCTCCTTTGTACAGATGGGGAAACCGAGGCACGGGTTAGTTTAAGTGATTTGTCCATGGTTTCACAGGAGGTGAGTGGCTGAGCCACAAATGGTACCTGGATCTTCTAAGCCCTAGTCCTGCGCCCTATCCCCTAGGTCATCCATCCTCTGAGAGACCAGCATGAACATGGAGAGCTATATACTGCAAATAAAGACAGGCTGCTGACCTGCTAGGGAGCAGAAAACTTTCTTATCAGTAGAAAAGCCTTTTCTACACCAGGTTTCTTTGCTCCAGATTTCCTATTGTTAGCCTCAGTGGTTCAACTCCCCTGGAGGTACCAGCAGTTTCAGCACTAATATAGACAGGGCATTGGCAACAGCCAGCATTTTAACCACTGTGTTATGTAATAATAAGAATACCTACCTCTTATACAGCGCTTTTCATCAATAGATCTCTGAGTGCTTTACAAAGCATCATTGCCATTTTACAGATGGGGAAACTGAGGCATGGAGCAATACAGAGACATGCCCAAGGTCACCCAGAAAGCCAGTGGCAGAACTAGGAAGAGCCCCCAGGTCACTTGAGGCCCCAGGGTTAGATAGGGAGGTCACCCATCTGGTTTTAACATGGGCAGTCGTCCTTTTGGGTTGCTTGTCCGCATCCAGTACTCAGACAAAACTGGACGTGGTGTTGTCCGGTATCGGATGGGGGACACCATTTTAAAGAGCACGCTGCTCTGCCACCCCCAGTAGCGTGACTTTGCATGCACTGTGTGTGTGAGGTCATGCCGCTGGGGAGGGGGTGTCACACTGGCTGGGGAGGGCCCATGCCCATGCCATTCCTGGAAGTACTGGAACAGCTGGTATTCCGGGAATGCATAAGGTTGGAGGACTTGGTGCTTTAACTCCTGATAGACACCAGGAATCTTGTCTATGAGGAAGCTCACAGCTACTCCACTCCCAGCGTGTCCCAGCAGGAGTCGCTGCAGGTAACAGAGCAGGAGCATTAGCTGTGGGGCTAATACAAACCTGACCTTTTCTAAACAGCACCTTTACTGTGCAAGGAAACAGCTGGAAGAACCTGCACGCTAACTGTACACTGGAAATACCTCTCCGAGCAGCGGGTCCTTTTATTTTTGGACATTTGTTTAAAAGTCCCGTACCAAAAAAACAACCTGACATTCTCCTTGCAAGCCCCTTATAAAGGAAGCTGCATCTCCCCCAAGGAGTTGGGCTCTCACTGCAGAGCATTGCTAACCAGGCTGCAGGCCCTCTGCTGCTTTTTCCGTCAGCATTTCATCTATATAAGGCAGAATCATCTCTTTCCCTGGAGCCTTCCCCCCCCTTCTCATATCCCAAACTCCAGTGTCCCACAGCTGGGCTGCTGCCACACGCTCGCAGCATTCTTTTGCCTTGTATGGCCAAATCCTTGGGGGGGGGTGGGAACAATTTAGCTAAACTCCATTCTCCATTGGCTGCCTTTGCCATATGACCCAGCTCCTTCCAGCCAGGGAGATTAAAACAGCTAGTTAATTTCTTCTATTTGCAGGAGTCAGAAACGCCTTTGGGATCTCTGGGTTTTTAACTGTTTCTGACACAGGTAAGAGCTTTTTCCATTGATTCACTTTCCATGTGGTGTGGTTTCCTGAGGGCAGCAAAGGTGTGTCACAGATGAAATCAGAGGGTGCGGGAAGATTCCAAAAAAACTGAGCGCTTACATTTTCCAGTCTCAAGTTAAAAGCTTCCAGCAGTTTTAGGGATGAATGTGAGTTAGTGGACCAAGACCAGAGCTCTGTAGCATCAGAATCTCTCAGGGAAAGAAGTGGGATCCAGTCAAGAACACCCTGTTTGCCGAAATAGATTCTGATCTCCTGTAATGGGTTGTGTGAGTACTTGTCCTCCACCACAGGAAGAGCTATTCTGGCAGAGGGTTCCTCATGCTTTTAGCATTTCACTGCAGAAAAGGAAAGAAAGTTGAGTCAGATAAGAAGGCTGCCCACTGTGCTGTCAGAAGTTACATGGGAGAAAATACGTCTGTGCCTTGGCTAATAGTTTATCAGTCTAGGGAGCAAATAGACATGCATGGAAGGAAATAAACCCAACCTATGTCTGAGTTCTTAGACAGCTGGCATGGCCTGGGACGTGCACTACACCCTGGAGCAGAGCCCTCAGCACTTGAGGAGTGCAGGCCCTTTGCTGGTTGTCTTCTCACAATGTCAGTTGCCGGTAGAGAGATTCACATTCCATGCAGTCCTGTCTGAGCCTGCATGAGAAGGGAAGGAAACCTCCAGATCTGTGTTCCCGCTGCTTAACCTCTTACCTTTCCTCAGGCAAGACGTTGAAGCAGAGTGTGTTTTCGGGGGGAGGTGTATGGTCTTGCGTGCTGCCGCGGCGCGGTGTTCACCTACTAACACCTGTTATGGCAGCAAAGAACCCTGGCAGGCATCCCCAGGGAACGAGAACAGCCAGGCGAACCCACGCAGAGCTGTCACCGCTGGGATGTGACGGGAGGGAGACAGGGACAGTGACAGGCAGAGCTCTCCACTCTCACCGCAGGGCCCTTACCCTGCTGAGCATTTGGCTCCTCCAGACAGTCCCACTAACATCAGTGGCGCTGTGTTTGGGAGTAACTACTTGCCAGAGTAAGTAAAGGCTGTGCAGCCTGGCCCTGGAGCCGTAACAGAGATGAGAAGAGCGTGTAGAGCATTGATGACAGAGCAGGACACAGCAGGGGTTACTGAACCGCTGACACGCAGCCTTGGCAGGCGTTGGCTGTGCTCTCTCTTGGGGTTTCCTACTGACCGTGGATCGCTCAGTTAGTCGGGGGGGCTTCTTTCAGGAGCGTCAATCTCATATAAGCAAAATGGGGCCTGGAATCAGAGCTGTCGTGAGCACACGGCAATGCACTGAAACAAGCTGGGCTTTTCCGTCTGCTTCCCTGCTCTGAGCTTGCTGTCAGGGCCGGCCTCTGGGTTTCTTGGGCAAGATTCATTTCTGTCTGGAATGTTGTTTTCTCCCATGTCCTTTTGCAGATGGCACAAGGCAAGATCCTGGCAAACATGCACACTGCCCTGCCCCCTCTTGGGTGATCCCCTAGTGATCTTCGAGATCTCCTTAGTGAGCTATTGAGCGACCTGATGCCAATGGAGGATTAGCCTCTGGGCCAACAGGGCCTGTGCCCAGGGGCCCCGGCCAGTCGGGGGGGCCCTGGAAAAATGGACACCCCTGTACCCTGACTCCACTCCCCAGCTGGAGCGCCGGGCGGGCGGAGCAGGGCAAGCCCCTGGGACCCGATTCCATTTGCCCTGCAGGAGCACGCTGGGGGGGGGGGGGGAGGGGAGAGCCCGACAACAACTGCAAGAGCAAGGGGTGTGGAGGGGCCCCCACTTGCTCTGGCACAGGGGCCCCATAAAACCCCAGTCCACCCCTGCCTGAAGCAATACATTCTCTTGCATAAGAAAAACTTCATTTACCTCCTTTTTGCTTTCTCAATCCTAAAGCCTGATCTACACCTAAAACTTCAGACAACCTAGCTCTGAAAAACGCCGCATGTGGAGCATTGAAGTTAGGTCGACCCAACCTCCTGTGTAGACACAGCTAGGTTGCTGGAAGGATTTTTCCATCAACTTAGTTATCACCTCTTGAGGAGGTGGATTTACTGCAGCGACGGGAAAACCCTGTCAACTCCACAACAAGTGTCTAGTGGCGTAGCTGCAGCTGTGCCACTGGAGCGCTTATAGCGTCCACAGCGCCTGGGGTAACTTTTGTCCTGTTCGGACAATGCCCATCAGAACCCGAGATCTGGCTGCTTCCTAGTCCCAGGTACTTTCCTCTATTGAGCCTCTTGCTGAGTGTTTGTATTTGGGGAATATTAGAGGGGTGTTAAAATAGCATTGGGAAGGCTCTTTAACATGTAACCCTAGGAGGAAGAGGAGGCAGTGGCAGCATTCGCCAGTGTGTGGTGCCTGTATGAGACAGCTCCAGGCCTGAGCAGTCGCTGGTTACCAAAGATGGTTGTGTTTCCCTGGGCATTTAAATTCTTTACCCATTGCTGTTGGCATTTTCTGCCGCCAGTGGGAGGAGTTAAATATTTCGCTGTGCTCCCAAATCAGTGCTTAATTTGTGCCAGGGCTTCACAGTTCATAGGCCCAGCACCTCTAGAACTTGGCAGTTCAGAGCCCTGGCACCTCTGGGCCTGGCAGGTCACAGCCCGGCACCTCTAGAACTTGGCAGTTCAGAGCCCTGGCACCTCTGGGCCCGGCAGTTCAGAGCCCCGGCACCTCTGGG